CAGATGATGCCAACCCTGAAACAACATACAGAACTACCACATTTTGCTATAAGTTTGATTGCATCATATAATAATTGCTGTTAATAGTGTTCATTGTCTGTTTTATTACGTCTTAAATTGATTTTTCCGTACATTTCTGCCATACGTACATTAACTGACAGTCACCACTGATAAGCTACCACTAAATATTGTAGAAACTTAATTTGCTGTAAAGTTGCTTTGCAATGATTTGTATCGTGAAAAGCGCTGTACAAATAAACTTGACTTGACTTGACTTGACTTTTACAGGAGGCTTCCCATGACATGAAATCTATACTTTATGGTTATTATGACGTTCTGTTCTGCTATCTGCAGTTGTTCTCTAATTGTAAGGATGCTGTCTGATCGTAGGCATTCAGCTCAGTGTCAGTCAGAATCTGCTGGCCTGTGTTTGCCGTGGAGTGTGTTTGAGTGACTGCCGCTCAAACAACACTCGTCTCATCACTGCTGCATCCTACATATCCCAAAACACACAACAATTAAAAATATATCTCTTCACACCTTTTTGTATAGTTTGACATTACAAGTTGCATTTCTGTGCAAGTTGCAATTGTGTTCAAGTGGACAGCAATCATAATAAAAAAATAATAAAAATCAAATCAAATAAATTAATTGAAATGGTCAGGTCAACTAGAAATGGCTCCTCATGATAACAATATTTTTACAGAGTAGATTTATTGCATTATACATGAATCAAAACCAGTGGTGGAAAGAGTACTGAAAACATATACTAAAGTAAAAGTACCATTACCTTCCAAAAAATGAATGCGAGTAGAGTAAAAGTACTTGTCCAAAAAACTACTTGAGTAAGAGTAAAAAAGTAGCCTATTTAAAAGTACTCATGAGTATTGAGTAGTGAGTACTGAGCTGTGGATTCTACCCCCTCATAATAAACCCTGTACACCGCAATTTATACATTTTAAAAACGTTGTACATTCTGTAATTCACATTATCTTGTTTGTCATAAGGCATGAATAATTTCTATCATCCAGCAGTTTTAATTTTGACTGCCAACTCTTTAAAATACATCAAAACAGCACGGAAACAGTATTCAGTTGAAGAAAAGATGAAAGTTATTCTCAGTACAATCATCCCCATTTAAATCATAAAGTTTGAAAAAATAGATTTAAAATCATGTGTAAGGCCACTGAGACAGCATGCTGTTGTTGCACATAAAATATGAATGTTTAGAACAGTGGCGGTTAAAGTTTTCTATGCACAATTTGAATTGATGAAAGTCACGAGACCTATTACTCTCTATCCAATCACGTTGATGGATAAACATTAAATTAAAATAAGCATGTAACGACCACAAACGGAGGAAAATAGCGGAGTAAAAGTACCGATACATCACTTAAAATGTACTCAAGTAAAAGTAAAAGTACACAATTTTTTAACTACTCAAAAAAGTACAATTACTGATAAAAACTACTTAATTACTGTAACGTGAGTATTTGTAATTCGTTACTTCACACCCCTGATCAAAACAAAGGCTCTGTGTTCATGTTCATGCACACATTCATGCTTACCAACTACCTATACACATTTTTGTTCTGATATTGATAAGAGAAGATGTTCAGAAGATGTATTATAATACACATAGATTGATTTTGGCATGGAGAATTTGATGTAGCATTGCCATTATTTTTGTTTAAATATAAATACATTTTAAAATCATGTAATCACAATTACATAAAAACACTAAAACATAAACATTTTATGTTTTTTCCTTCTTTTTAATCATGCAATAATCTTGTAATAGCAGTAAAATACTGTGGTAAATGACAATGGTATTCATTCTGCTCCTTGCTGTATATGAAAGCATTGTGCCGTGATAGCAATGCTGGGGCAATGTCATTGATTTGCATGAAAACACAAAGACACGATTCAAGAATAAAAGTGTTACATAAGTTACACTGTTATGCAGTACAAGAGGAGAAGGGTCTGATAAATAAACTCCAAGCTCCATGATGCCTCACTCCAGTGTCTGTGTCAGTGCGCTAGTGTAAGAGCAGTCTGATTCAGTTAGCGAATCGGATCGTTTGAGCGGTTCATTTCAATAAAATGATTCACCACGTTTCATAAATATTTTGCTAAATATCGATGCAGTTTTATAGGAGACCTGTTGCGTGTAATGTGCGTCGTTTGTGGTTCCACATAACAATTTTACTTCAATCCACTACAATGTTCTTTCAGTCGAGTGATTCATTCGCTCAGTCTGAACCATTCAAAAGAATTGATTCCCATTAATGGTTCGCCGAGGAGTCGGACATCGCCACAGTGCGTGCGGATGCGGGGAAGATGGAGGAGGACGCAGGAGCTGTGTGAGGACACAGAGATGCGGATTATGGAGGCTTGCGCCGTCAAACCAGCAAAGGGCCAAAGACGACGCTGAGTGGACGCGGGGACGAACACAGTTCAACGACAGCACTCTAAAAGAGCGCTTCTCGTCTGCATCGCTAGAAATAGAGCGGCCGTCTCATTTTAACAGTTCGTTTCTCAAAGAGCGTGCGGGAAGGTTTTACAATTGGGCATCAAGTACGGCATTTCCATATAATATTTCTCATAAAGAAGAACGAGGAATGTGGGAAACGGGGATGGTTGTCGCTGATTGTCATTGCGGAGGATGGAGAAAGCGCTCGGAGGATGATAAACATGAGCCTGGATGTCCTTTAGTGCTCGCATGGATTGGGAATTTGCGCATTCTGTGCGTTATGACGCCATAACAGAACTCGACACTTGACGCGTTCTGAAGTAAACGAGCGGATCTGAACCCGTGGAGAGATGAGGGTTCCGCGTCTGCTTCTGTACTCATGTGCATTAGTGGCCCTTCTGCCGGTCCCCTGCTCCGGCGCAGTGTTGCTCCGCGTCCCCCTGCGGCAGGGGCCCCCCTCACAGCCCGCGGGCCCCCGGGGCCCCTCCAGCTCCGCCCGCACACGCAGAGGAGCCAGTGCGGTGAAGTTTGTCAACATGATTGACAACCTTCGCGGAAAGTCAGGACAAGGGTATTACATTGAGATGGCTGTGGGCACTCCGCCTCAGAAGGTGAGAAGGACTCAAAGCCAGTGTAACAGCACAGAGAGGCTGCGCTACAGCATAACTCATACTACCCACACTATTTTTGTAGTAGGCTATTTGTGGATAATTGATATGTCGTTTGCTGTTCTCAGAAAAAAAGGGCATTCACATTTTCTTTCATATTTTGTCTTAACATTATCTATACTTATTTATTTATTTGCAGAAATTGTCTTGCAGCATGAATATCACCACAATGTACAGCAAAATACAGAAACCTATCCAAAATAAACAGTGTGGACAGAAATACTTTTAAAACATTTTGGAATTATATAATTTAGCACCTGTCTTCAAAAATAAAAAGACTAGAATTCACATATTACCTTAAACTAAAACAAGAAAGAAAGAAAATATTTTAATACTTTATTTTTATTCAATTTCCCCCATTGTTTTCCGCTTTGTTTTAGATCTTTGTGCTTCATGGAAATATTGCACCATTGATTATTAATGACTAAACACTGTTTGTAGGATCTAATAGAGAATATGTTTTGTGAAGTACACTGTATGGGTTTTGTAGTGTAGGGCACAGGCTGATGACTGCTGAGACACGGTTCAGTCTTAGAATAACAGTGTATATTGTCTACTACATACACACTACAGACCTACCTGCCACCTTTTCTGTATAAGAAACATACATGTACCAATAATAGTGATTCTATTGAAGTGTTTGCTCCATTCATGCATTTCTGGGAATTGAACCCATAACCTTGGCATTGCTAGTGTTGTGCTCTACAGTTTAAGCCACAGGAAAACTTGATCTAAATTCTGACAGAGTGAGAAAATCACACTTTCTTCCAGGCAGCGGCAGATCTCTGCTGAGCTAGTATCAGCACTATAACTTTTTTTTAACAATTGTTACAATTGTCTAGTGCTACACAAGTTTGAAAATGATGTGGAAGGAAATGAATGAGTGTTTTGCAGCTGACATCTGTCACATCATCATTACTGCGGGTAAGGTCACATAATGCCTGAGGAAGAGGAAGGCCTGTGGCGTAGGGGTCGCTGGAGGAAGCGTGTGCACAGGGACGAGGTTCTGACGCAGGATACAGACTCAGTGAGCAGAAATAACAGGAAGCCCACAGGACAAATCAATGACATGAGGAGTCAGCTCAGTTCTTACGACAGCAGAGAAGAGCTGCAGAGACAGAGAGGCGAGAAGGAGAAGTGCGTGGAATCTAAAACATTTGTCTGATAGCTTTCATACAGAGAGGTACATTTGGAAAGACTCAGTAAAGTCTTGTGAATGCACAGGTGTGATGACTATACAGAAATCAGTACAGAAGCGGTCAGTCGATGCAACATTTCTTCAATCACTCTGCTCTCAGCATCAGCTATTAAAAAAAGCAAAAGGGTCTGGCTGCAGCTGGCGCTTGCACTCTCAGACGTGCATTCTCAGACACTTGCACTTCATGGCTTAAGAGACCCTTTTAGCCTCTGACATTTGCATATAAATTAAAGTCCTGGTCACAGACTTTACACTTATATGGGTGTTAAATGGCCAATGGTTCCCCCCACTATCAAGGAGATGCTAAACAATTTCACCACTCTCGTCTCCCCATTGAACTTCAAACACATTCCAAAGAGACGGTAACCAGATCAAGAGACATGTGGCTGCTGGCAGGGAAAGACAGAGGGGGGCTAGTGCTAACTAGGCCTTGCTATAGTTCTCAAACAAAGACTGTCTTGAACAGACAAGAACTTCCCTCACTGATCCACTGCCTTTCTCCTTTTTCTCTGAACCAGGATGCTGCTGTGGCTCTCCATCCTCTGCCTCCAGCTAAACAGAGGACAGCCGCAACCCGATATCACATCACCAGGTCCAGCATCAGGCATTGCACTGAGGGACCAACCTGGACTTCTTAAGAGTGCAAGCCTGAGAGTGCAAGCGCCAGCTGCAGCCAGAACCTTCTCAAAAAAAGCTTTCATTAGCTGATGTTGAGTGCAGAACAACTGATGACGTATTATTATAGAGTTGAAGGCAAGTGACAGAGTTACCTTCGAATGTCTGTGCTATTAAATAAATGTGTTATAACTCGCTCAGCAAGACTCTCAAAATATTGATTAGTCATTATCAAAGTTGCCGGTTAGACTCTGAAATGGTCAATTTGGACACGGTAATCATCTGATCTTAACGATGACATGGCCACAGTTCAGCCGTCTATCTGCTAAAACCTGCTCGAGATCTCAGAAGTCCCAGAGATGTCTGCAGCTCCGTCTCGTTCTCAGGATTCGGCTCTCGTCTCTCTCCCTCAGCGTGTATCACGTTCTCCTCGGTCAGGGAGTCTAGCGCTGAGAGGCTGATCAATAATACATCTCATTCTTAAATACCCCTTCACAAACACCCACAAGGTCACAGAGCGATCATCAGCTGAAGACCTGAGCCACATCTAGAGACTCAAGGGTGGGCTAGTGACCGTATCGCATTACAGTGCTCTAAAAACACGCTGCCAAACACAGGCACCACTCACATTTCTGCAGGCGTTCATTGCATGTAAACTCGAAGGTTTCCGTTTGTGTTTCAGCTGAACATCTTGGTGGATACGGGCAGCAGTAATTTCGCAGTCAGCGCCGCCTCTCACCCGTTCCTCCACAGATATTACCATCGCTCTCTGTGAGTACTACTAATTATTCACACTAGGGGTGTAACGGCACACAAACATGACGGTTCGGTACGTACCTCGGTGTTAACGTCACAGTTCGGTATAGTTTCGGTACAGCAGGAGCAAAAAAACCAAAATTGTTTCTTTTTTTTTTTTTCATTAAACAGGTTTACCGAACAAATTGCTCACTCTTTAAATAAATTCAATTATAATTCAAATTTTCTTAGGGATAAAAATTTATCTCAGCTTCTGCCCTAAAGTCTAAACTAAGTGAGCTCTTTCACATTACTATAAGATCACAATTAACAACAGAGCCCAAACTTAAATTTAACCAGTGTTTATTAACCAGTGTATATTATATTTAAATATAATAATCAACAAACGACTTTAAAAATGTATGTAAATTGCACATAATGCAGTTTTTAAATTAACTTCTGAATCCAATTATAAAATTTATATTTGTTGTTGAAATATAATCATTTACACAGTGGCTGTCATAACTTGTTTCATAACAGACTTATTTAAACATACATTAATTAAGACATCGCTAACAGGTAAAGTAAAATATGAGTATATAGTCTAATATTGCATGAAATTCTCCTCTCTGGACTTGATTTCTCTAGCAAACTATCGAGCTGTGGACACTGATGACTTGTCTGAGGTTTTAATGATGTCTTTCCGCAGTTGAAACACTGATTGAGTGATGCATGAGATGTTCATTCATGTTTATTTGGTGTTACAACTAGTAGTAAAGAGTAAGAGATGATCGCGCTGCCATCAGAACTGAGACGTTTATACAGCGATCTGTCGTGTTACATCAAAGACCCCCAAAACAGCATTTATTGTCTGAATTTACTGAAAAAAAGACATAATTTGAAAGACGAGACCTTGTTTCTTGTCAAAAGTAACAATGTATAAAACTGGAAGTTTCTAATCAAGTTTCACTCATGCAGTGCGTACCGAACCGAAAGACCCATATTGGAAATGTTCGTTATGAATACGTGTACCGCTACACCCCTAATTCACACACAAATGGGACACAATATATGTTATATATGAAGAAGCTGCTGCCAGAGTCGGGTTGGTGTTTGTGTCGACAGCTCGTCGTCGTACAGAGATCTGGGCCGCAGCGTGTATGTGCCGTACACACAGGGCCGCTGGGAGGGTGAGCTGGGCACGGACCTGCTGTCCATTCCTCACGGGCTCAACGTGTCTCTGAGGGCCAACATCGCTGCAATCACCCAGTCTGACCGCTTCTTCATCAACGGATCTAACTGGGAGGGCATCCTCGGGCTGGCCTACGCCGAGATCGCCAGGGTGATCTTTCTGTAGCTGTCATAACCTCACAGAGCTTGATGAAGAGGCGCTTCTGACCGGGTTCTGTGTCTTTCAGCCGGACGAGACTCTGGAGCCGTTCTTCGACTCTCTGTTGAGGCAGACCAGTGTCCCAGACGTCTTCTCCCTGCAGCTCTGCGGAGCGGGCTTCACACAGAACTACAGCGCCGGCAGCTCCACTGTAGGGGGCAGTATGGTGAGAGCTGTAAAGAGAGAACATGTCCATGCTGCAAACGGTTAAATGACCCCAACCTTCTGTCATTAACTCTTCTGTGGAACACAAAAGGAGATGTTTTGCATATTTTCCCACATGTTGTGAATGAGAATCAGACTGCAAGCCCTGAAAAGGACAAGAAAACGTTGATAAAAATAGTCTGTATGATTATTCTAAGTCTTATGAAATCATAGGATAGTTCTGTACGAGGAGCAGACTAAAACTGCAGCCATATGAAATATTTTTAACTTTTTTTTTTTAGATTTTATCCTTTTTGGAGCTTGTCGGCATGAACATTGTGCTTAACATCTCCTTTGTGTTTTGCACTGACATAAATTAATTTAAATGAACCCTTACCATTAGTAAAATCACCCAAAACATTTGGTGGTTAAACTTTTTTTTTTTTTTTTTGGAAGAAGATACAATAAAATAGTATTTTTTGTAAAACATAGTCCAGTATTTTTTTTTTTTTTTTACAGTGTACCATGTGTAGTTAAAGAACTTTATGTAACATGAAACAGAACAACTTCAGTGGCATACTATAAAAGATTGTGTTGGTTCTTCACAGATTATTGGGGGAATCGATCCGTCTCTGTATGTTGGCGAGCTGTGGTACACACCAATCAGACGGGAGTGGTATTATGAGGTCATCATCGTGCGCATCGAGGTCAACGGACAGGATCTCAACATGGACTGCAAAGAAGTGAGAACAACTCTCCTGGTTTTGCCTCGAAGCATTTATTCCTTTTGAGAAAACAGACTTCACAGATACAGTTTCAGTATCTTGAAGCACATGCACTTTTACATGTCATGAGCTGTTTCCTAAACATAACAAGCTGTTGCTGTTTTCACATGCCTTTTACGTAGAGATTTTATTGATTTACTCTTGTCTCAAGTCCAGACAATCTTAAAATATAAAAATCCATGAACTATATTCAAATTTTAAAAATTTTTACCTAAATGACATTTGTAAAATTATGATCTAAACAAAGACTACAAGAAAGATAAATCATTTCATAATTATTGTGATTTTTTTTCCAGTTTAAGTTACACCTGGCCCTTCATTATTTATAACCAGACCAACAATTCTGGCTTTAGTAAGAGTACAAAAAAGCTAGTATACTTTGTATATAAAGTATAATATACATTGTAAGTGAAGATAATACTTGAGACTTTGTCAAATTATGCAAAAACTGTAAAAATATTATTTAATTGTATTTTGGATTCATATAATTAGCATTAGCAAGACAAAGGAGTTTGCTATTTAATTTCAGAAATATTCAACCATCTGAACAACATCAAACACAAAACACAATTTAAAATATAATGGAAATGAACCTTTGATGGAAGTGTTAAACTTCTAAAACAAACTTGGCCTCTTATGCATGTATGCCCAGTGTTGGACATTCCCAGCGCACACCTTGATATCAATTTGACATTAAATATTAGTCTAGACTTGTTCAAAAAGCTGTAACATCATTTTAAATTCAGTTTGGATGGCAATTTCTTCCAGGGGTAATTGCGAGAAAATAGGAAGTTAAACCCACACTGAAATTGGTTTAATGTATATGTAGGCTAATATGTTTGACTTTTCAATTTACATCAAATCAACCTCATGTCAAGTTTTACCGTCAGATTGTTTTGCATATTAAACCTGTTTTTTTTTTTTTACGTCAATATTGATGTCAGTTTGATGTCTTTTCAACATCAATTGTCCACTGGGTTGTTAGACGTCTTGAATTGAATTGAATAAATTGAAAAAACTAGGAAGTGTGTGAAATGTGCATTTTGAACAAGTCTATTTCCAAATGTCCATAAAGCCAAAATTACATACAGATGAAGAAACATTTCTGTATTTTTCCATTTGGTCATGGTTAAGAATACAATGGAACAGTTTTATTTATTAATCAAAGGTAAAGTAAAAGCAAAGCTTCTCATTGTTTCTCTCTGTCTCTCAGTATAACTATGATAAAAGTATCGTGGACAGCGGCACCACAAACCTGCGTCTCCCTCGTAAAGTGTTCCAGGCGGCTGTGAAGGCCATTGAAGCGGCTTCATCGGTCGGTGTATATCGTCTGTGTTGGGCTCATTTTTGAACATGCTGAACGTTCTGGGTTTTCTTGCTCATCTGGCTCTTTTCCCCCACAGACTGAACAGTTTCCCTCAGGTTTCTGGCTGGGCGAGCAGCTGGTGTGTTGGCAAGCGGGCAGCACACCCTGGCACATCTTCCCTGTCATCTCTCTCTACCTGATGAGTGAAAACACAAACCAGTCTTTCCGCATCTCCATCCTGCCACAGGTACTTCATTCTGCCATCAGACTAGCTTCACACACAAATACATCCGCTAAAATGTGCAAAGTGCGCTGCCTGTAACACTGTATCCCACAGCTCAATGCAGTTCTCTCACTTTTACCAGTTACAATCACTCCCCCTTGTGGAGGAGCGGGATCTCGTTTCTGTACCACCAGACATGATGCTGTCTCTATTCCCTCGAAGGATGAGTTTTGTCAGTTACTCCCTGAAACAAAACATTAACAATATATCCACATCCAAAAGAGCAAACTTCAGCTCGCACTTATGAAGAGTAACAAATGTCAATGTTAGCATGCATCTTAGTTCACCCAAAAATGAAAATTCAGTCATAATATACTCACCATCAAGTTGTTCAAAACCTGTATAAATGTTTGTTTTCTGCTGAATACAAAAGAAGATTTTGAAGAATGTTGGTAACCATACAGTTAATTATAGCCATTGACTATGTTTTTTTTCAATACTATGGAAGTCAATGGCTACCAACAACTATTTTGTTACCCACATTTTCATTTTTGGGTGAACTATATATATATATGTAAATGTTATGATAACAGCAGTGCTCAATTGAGGTTTGTCTATTTGGAGATTATCAGCTTTTTCTGCTCTTAGGGCCTCATTTATTAAAGTGCCCCTATTATAGGTAATGAAAGGTTCATATTTTGGATTTGGGAGTCCCCAACAACAGGTTGGCATGCATGCAAGGTCAAAAAACACTTTCATTGTCTTATAATATTTATTTTTTACCTTACTTGCTTAACGACTCCCAAACGATTCGCTCAACGGTTCATTTTTCCAAACCCCTGCTTTGCGTGACGCTAATCTGCGGTGATTGGTCGATTGGTCTCATGTTCATTTCATGTCGCCTGTAAAGCCTGATAAAGCAGCGTTTGTGAGCGCAGTGCTGCTTTGTGTACAGTGTTACCGGGGAAACCGATATTTTTACCACAAAGAATGAATTTGCATTTTCATTCAGACCAACGTGAAAAGACCAACAAGTGGGCGGGGCAATATGCTAATGTTTCATGTTGACGTCAAAATTAAACGGCTTGTGATTCATTTTAAAAACGACTCGTTTCAATGATTCAGAGTCGACTTTCTTTTGAGAGACAATAACTTTATACACGGTGCACTTTCAGATTGAAAACTTTGCAGGATGTTATCATTCACTTAGAGCTGTGTTACACTGCATGAAAGGTAGTTTTCAAAAATCCACAATAGGGGCACTTTAAATGTTGTGCAGAAACCATCTTAAATTTGATTTTGCGATCAAATTGATCTAAATTTGATTCTCATCTCTCAAATATGCATACGTGTGATTCATAGAATGAACGTACACACAGAAAACACACGTACGCGTGCGTCTCTTTCAGATGTGAAATCCATGAATCGCAAATGATCTTGAACTTGCACGGAACTGAATGGTTTTAGCTGTCTGCCTTGTAAACGATTCCTAATTAATGACATTAACATATAAAAGATCACCAGTCATCGTCCAAATCCTTTAATTTAGAACAGCGAGCTGCAAGAACAGCTTACATTTCCAAAGACCTGCAGTACTTGAACAAGAAAAAGAGCATACCAGGGTGGCCGCGGATAAAAAGTCTTAAAATGTCTTAAATAAAGTTTTCCTAAAAAAATGCCTTAAAAAGTCTTAAAATGTCTTAAATTCAGATTCAGTAGGTCTTAAATATTTTTGGTCACATTACCGCAAAAAAATTCTCCATTCTGACGGCTCCATGCAGTGACTGTTTACAATTGTTGGCAAAGTCTGACGGACCCAGTGAGTGTCCATCAAGAGTACTTTTTCCGCCCGCTGTAGTTACCGCGTCATCAGAGAGATTGCGGTTACAGAATGCAGTCGAACACCAGCTCGCTGACCAGCCTCCGAACTACTTTAAATGGGTTAATGCAAGTTTACTGAAAAATGGCTTGAGAATTGTACTTGCCCGACAGGACTAATAGCCTACTTAAAACTTAAGTGACAAAATATAATCACGCATCAAAACGCGCGAATGATTCTTCTGATTTTATTACATTCAGCTTAAACAGCGATTGATAAT